ACGTTGGAAAATGAGCGGAAAACATAGCACATAGGAAAAAGGGGTGTGAGGGACCACGGAAGGGGGCAGGTAGGTCGTTAAACCCACTTGAAAGCTCAGAGCCTCGATCGATAGTCTCGGGCCAAGCAGGGATTAAAATCAGGCTAAGTCTGTTCCAATCAATACTGATGGCTCACCCTGAGGTTAAAACAGGAGTAAATCTCCATACATGCCCATACACAAGTCCACACTATGGCCTATAGTACAGATAAATCCACAGCTATCCATGCAAATGGACACACAATAGGTTACTGTGCAGGTGCAGTCAATATGAATGAGTGACATATCTGGTTGTATCTAAGTGGGTATATACTTTGTCTAGTTAGAAGATGGAGGTAATAAATTTTGGATTTGTCGATGCTGCTGATCAGAGTGAGTAAAGCTCTCATAAAAGTGTTGAAGAGCGTGTACAGTGTGTGTGAAAAGTGAGAGAAAAACTGTCATTTTTTTGTTGTCTATCCACACAACAAAGCTTTAGCGGAGGTAAGAATGACTTATAGACAAAGAGCTAACACGCATGATTGACTCTTTCACACCCTAATGGATGCACTGCTCAGATTGATCTTACAAGCCCAGGTCTGCGTATCAATTACCAATAATGACCAGTGTTTTCGTACAGAGACAACACACAGAGAAGCTCTGAGCAAAGATTGATGTTTCTTATTGAAATGATTTAATGTTACCTTTTGCCTTTTTTAGGTAAACTATTTTTTTGTTACAAGCATTTTGAAATGTCATTTTCAAAAGATAAAAATGAGATGATACAAAATATAGGCAGTGGTAAACTAGACAGCAACGTAAAACCAAAATAAGAGTTTCTTAATCTCACAGCATAATATATTTTTAGATGTCAAATTAGGAAACAACCGTCAGGAACAAATATTAAGCACCATTAAAAATAAGCTATTTCATTTTTTTTCTATTTGAAATGAAACTCCAAACATGGAATTATTTTAGATGACTGAAATATCACAGATTTTCGCTAATGATGCGCTTTCACCCGTTTGTTTCCCTGCTCTGTTTTCACACCTCCACCTGAACGGGATGCAAACTGACAAAAACCTGACAGTTCAGTCCCAAGCACTTGAAGCCCGTATGTTTCCCACTTTTCACTGGGATGGTTATTGCAAATATCACACCTCTCTCCAACGCACACAATTGAACGCATTTGGCACAGATTTGATGTCTCTTTTGCTCTTGGGGACAAAATCATTTTTCAGGTTGCTGAAGTGGTCCTTGCCGCTGACAACTCACAGCTGCAAACACTAATAGTTCAACTGTCCGGTTCTAAATCGGAGTAGTGAGGCAGATGGGAGTTGTCCTGTTTTGAAAATAAATGGAAAAATTACGAGAGAGAAAAAAACGATGTAAAAGGAGAAGAGTGGAATCTGCAAAGAGGCTGTTAAAGGTACATTTGATCGATTCAGTTGGTAAGTTGTTCACTTCTGCTTTTGCTGTAAAAATGTGCAAACCTATTGACTGATGTTTACTATATTGTTTTCTTACAGTTTACAGTGATGTTTAGCATAAGAACATTCTCTAAAGCAAATGAAAAGGTGGATAAGATCCTCTGTGAACATAAGATTTGTTTTTCATGACAACTTCTGGATGTGATTGGATTATATCAAAGTGCAGTAAAACACTTTTTTATTTCACTTTTAAGTACAGATACATGAATATGCTTTTTATAATGAAATGTATGTGCAACACTTTTCGAGCTTTCTTCCTGAGGTCTCTTCACCAGACCTCAGCTGCCGGTCCCTACTTCTCCCTTGCACCCCTTGATGTCCTTCATCACTGCATGCTGCCAGCTGGGGGGCAGGGCGCCCATTCAGAGTCCTTACTTTTGTGTCACCGAAAAATAAACCCCTCCCTACCAACAGAGCAAACCTCCCTAATTGTGCAACTCATAGCAGTAAAAAGATGCAAAGGCTTGAAGTTTTGATCAAATCCAAAATGCTTTCTATGAACAATGCAAATGACTGTTCTAAAGATAACTGAAACAGTATTTAAGAGAGACCTCAGCCTTTTGAATGGTTAAAATAATTTAAACTAAGTGTTTTTAGAGAAAGAGAAGAGTCTCATTCTGAAACTAAGCCAAGGTATGTCCAAGAACCAAACCAAGATGGATAGCAGAGAGACCTCTGGGAGCAATACTTGTTCTCTGTGTGGTAATTAAACTAATCTCTACTTTGTTCTTTTACTTGTTTTCTGTCGGTAGCACATTAGAACAGATTGAGCATCTCTTACTCTAATCAAGACCACACCCCCCAACTCATTTTCTTGTGCCGTAACAACTTTTCTGGGTATCAACCCTTTGAAAGAATAGTCCCCCAGTATTTCCAGTCCCCAGTTACCATGGGCTACAGATGTGCCCCTGTTCATTACAGTGTCTCTTAGTATGTGGAATCTGCACGACTCCTAATGAACAGACAAATTCACATTCAAGAAAACGTCAAACTTGTGCAACATGTGCCAGAAAGGAAATGCCGCCAATGAAGAAATGTTTATTTCTTTCTCTTACGTGCTTACATGTGGAGACAATTATTCACACACAATCCTATTATAAGACTGACAGATGCACAAAACTTAGGAAGTGAGAGCAAGTGTTGCTTTTGCGAAGGAACACTGCTTTACATGCTCTTCGCACCCATGCATATCAAATACGTTTCAGCAATTGAAAAGCATAATTCGGGGTGGAGGAAAAACAGAGGAGCTACTCTTCGAGGCAACCTCGCCAATTAATTTGCAGCTCAAATCTCAAAGCCTCACTGGAGAGGTGCTAGGCTACATACCACTGGGCTGATTTGTGAAGCAGGTCTGTATTAAATATATACATGAGGCTAATTCAGTAAGTGTCATAGGCCTGTAGCTGTGGTGAATGTGGCCTGAGCTCTCATTAGTGATGTTTCTGCCTCCAGTCGAAATCAACAGAAGCTTTGGTCCATGGTATTTTTTTCTTTAAAAAAAGAATTTGCATAAAGCAAACAAATTTACATTTACTTTGCTAAATCAAAGTGCCAAATGTGGAACTCTCTCTCTCTTTCGGTCTCCTTGTATGTCTGTCTTTCTCTCTCTGAGGGATAAATTACTTCAGAATGATAAAAGAAAAAACACAGGGAGGAAAAGAGAGATTTTCAGTCAAGTGGGATTCCCACTCTCAGACAATCCCAGCGTGCTTTTGCTTCCTGAGATGTTGGCTTGTGTGTCTCCAGCATGTGGTAAGAGTCTCTATGATTTAATCTGTCTTTCCTTGCATTCTTCCATCTGTGAGTTTGCTTTCTCTGTGCAGTGTTGTAGATTTGTGTGCCTGAGTCAGCTTGATATCACAGGAAAAATTCAGAAACATCAAGGAAAACATGTTTTTGCTGCACGCAAAAATGTATCCACTGAGGCCATTTTCTAAATACACACATTTTAACATGATGCATTTTTTTCCACATCTAACCATTATTCAAATAAGAGAAAAGAAGACAAGCAATATAACCTCCTCAAGTGAACCGATGCCCACATAAGCATCAGCAATCAGCAATTACTTACACAAGTACACAAAGCCTTTAGAAGTCATAAAGCGAGACACATAGGCACATCACGAATCCTCACAATTGTTTATTAAGTTGAATTTAATACTGCAATATTCAATCATCATCATTATGGCAGAGCAGAATGGTAATTAATCACATTTGCAGCCAGATTCCTGAAACCTTCATTGACATTTATTCAAAGCAGTGCTGAGATCCTGATGACTCCATAGAGTGAGATAAAAGGAGTATGTGTTGGAAGAAAAACATTCGTAAAACTAAACTCTTTTGAAGATGAGGTAAATTATGATAGGAGGGGATAAATGCTAAAACTCAAGGACATAGTAAAACCCAAGCCCCAGAGTCAGTTATGCAGATGAGAGATAACCCTAAACTAATGTGCTGTTCATTAGTTACATACATATCTCAATGTTTTTTTGTTTTTCTTAACAAACTGATATCTAAAAAGAACATTCACTTACCACACAAATTAGCTACATCATTATCATTACAGTTTCCGCTATGTTCTCATTTAATTATAAGTTCTATAAATAATTGGATCAGTACATCACAGGCTTAATGGCTTTGGAATATCTTTAAAAACTTTTCAAAACTGAGAGTAATGCATAGGTGCCTTGTCTGCCTTTGAACACAGTTTTGGCTATGACACCATTCACAGTGAAGGACCCAAAGTGTCTTTCAGCAAATTTATACAATCCTGAATAAAAGATGAAGATGTGCAGAATGTTTGGATGCAGCTTGTGTAGACTTCCAGTTTGAGAAAGCAGGTCATCTTTGAGTTCTCCAGTCAATTAAGAAAAGCAGTCAATAGTGGTCAATAGTGTTTTTCTATTATTCCAGATAATTTTATACAAAAATCTCTCTCTTCAAACAGTCCCTCCGCTCACTTATAATGTACAAAGCATCAACCCGCATCAACTGTGCGGCTACAGCACAGCGTAGACAAGCACATTTAGACAGAACTTTTTTTTCCTATGGCAAATAAAAGCTAAGATGGAAACAGGTAGAAAGCCTGTTGAATATAATGCCATGATTTGTACATAAATCCCCAAATTTTACAATTGGCAAGGAAAACTCCCGGAGATGCATGCAAAACGAGGCCATGCTCAACACGTTTAGGGGGCTTTTTACTGACAGCACTTTAATACAGACAGTAAATTGTGACATTGTTAGGGACAAAGCTACTGTAGACGTGCAACTCTGTTGTTGTTTTTGTTTTCTTTTTTCAAAGATACTTTCAAGGGAGAAAATATTAAAGTTGCAGGTGTTACGTTCATCTTTTACTCTGTGCTGTCTGTGTGTGTGTGTCTCAGAATCAAAGTCATTATGCTTAAAACAAAAGCCTGAGAGTGTGTACGAGGGTGTGTGTTTGGGTGAGAACGAGACAGATAAGGAGTGAGAGCTCCTTGGAATATACCGCGGAACTAGTCTCTGAAAAAAGAGGGGAAAAAAGCGACGCTTGGCTGTTCCTATTGAACTTGACCTGCGGGCTAGATCAATGTGCGAGTGCGTGTGTCTCTGGGCGTGTGTGCTACGAGAGTGAGACAATCCCTGCGTGTGTGTGTGTGTAGGTGCATTTCCATGAGCATGAGTACGCATTGGCAGATCAATGTGTCTCCATGTGCCACAGAATGAGAGAGCACACTGATTACCCAGGGGTGGTGGGAAGGAGGAGGAGGAGTGCGAGCGGGCGTTGGAGGGGATGGAGGATGATGATACAGAGGGGAGAAGGTGGGTGGGGGTGTGATGAGACTGAGTAAAGGATGGAGTGGAGACCAGGATCAGGAGAGATGCTCGGCTCATTTCATTTTCATTTTCTCTTCATTTCTCTGTGAGCTGAGCTGTGTGTCGGGGCATTCCACACGGACGGGGTGCCAAATTTTAGATCCAGAGCCAGATGGCGTGGATCATTTGGGAAATGCCAGCACAATATGAATGAAATGGGATGGCTGGAGGTCAGTGATCCCTGCTCATTTTGCAACCCCCTAACCCAACTTGCTTTCTGTCCTTTTTTTTTTTTCCGGTAAAGCACCTCCTCATGCTTAAACTCTAATCCAACAAGAGCAGAGAGAACGTCCTCCACTTTCCGATGAAGCCATAAAACCCCACCTGGCTTGAGGCCATTTTCTTTATGTGTGTATAAAGATGTTTGCGTTCCTGGCTTGTGTGCCTTGTCTGAACTCCTGATGTTTTCATCATTAAGAGTATAAAGGATTGTGGACCAATTCTCAGCACTGCAGGGGCTCTTCACATCTCTCTCTGTGTAGTTCCCGTCTGCCGTGCTTCTGTTAGCGAACCCCTGCTACCGTCCAATCAGTCTATAGCCTTGGCGAAGAGTATATGTGTGAGACTGGGAAGCAGCTCAGAGTGAAAGTTGAAGGTGATCTTCTGCCTTCTTTCTGAAGGGCTATATTTAATCTGGGAGGAGTTTTGCATGCATATATACAGCCCAGGGAAAATCTACAGCGTGTGTCCAGGGACAACAGTGAGTCCTCTGCCACTCCTTTTGCCCCTAAAGAAAATGTATTCCCATGTTTTATGGTTAATTTAAAAAAAATGTATGCATGAGTGTACAGGTGTCGCGCTGTTCATGGTAAGACTTGAACTTTTTCTAAGAGAGTGCACACAGCAGTCAAGTTTTAACTCACTGGATGTCTGTTGTGCAGGCTTTCATGACTATAACTAACTGTATGTCATTCCAGGATTCACAAGAAAGCCTGTTTTTACTGCAGGTAAGGAGGGTGGAGGTGAATAATTGAAATCCGCACTGCATTTAACTCTGGCTCTTCCTTGAAAGATCACAAACTTCAAAGAAAATATTAGACATCTTGGACAGGCAAAGGTTTAGAAATGCAAAGAGTTGAACTTTCAGTTAAGCGCACACATTCATCCTGCTTAGCATCTTTTGTGCACTTCTTAAGAAAACGATTAAATGTAAAATTTTATCATTTTTAAGCAGTACATCTATCAGAATCTAGACGTCTTTGTTGTCACTGTATCCATTGTTTATATCTTGCAAATGACAACCTGTTTCTGAACATTCTCACTGAAAACGAAGCTGCCGCTGGTGTTTGCTCTCATCCAAAGAGCATTATCTGGTCACAGAGTGGGATTTCAAAGTTGATTTAATGTAGGAAAGCAGATAACGTGCAGTGAGTATTAAATGCCTCTATTTTTTTCTTGTACACCAACTGAAATGCAGCTGTATTGTTTAATTGTTTAATGACTCATATAATTACTGAGGTGCTTAAGAATGAGTGATTCATGGTTTAATTTAAATGATAGAGTCTTATCAAATGTCATGGATGTGGTAATATATAGGCTGTGTGCTGCCAGGGAAAAAGAGCGTCTGGATAATGTAATGACAGTTGTATGCTTTCATGCAAAACAAAATTAAAAATCACTTACAGCACTCCACTTGATATTGTTAATGCTACCAAAGGAGCTACTCTTTCATTGGTTTAAAGCCAACGGGTCGCACATTTTACAGCAGTACTTTGCTGGCAAATGGGAGTGTTGAATCAATCTTCAGGCAATAATTGAAAATGCTCTCTTTTAAACCAACATGAACAAGATCTTAACAGCTGCTACGCATATTTGTCCCATTTTCTCACAGCTCACTCTGCAATGGCTGCCAGTTCCGGGGCACATATCTCCACACCTGATGGCATCTGGGATGGGCTGCTGCTCCAAAATACCTGTAAATTCCATCGAGTAGGTATGAAATATGAAAACTTGCCCCCCATAATTTCCGCAACCAGTGCAAACAGCGCAGGTCAACACTTGAAACACTAAAAATGAACAGATATTCACCATTTAAAAACTCAATCTGATTCCTGCTGGGCTTCATGTGGAAGTCCTGCCTTCTGCAGGCGTTAGCCACCCGTCGCACACAGCTTCTCCAGTAATAAGAATGTTTCTGTCACAGCATCTTATGTCCAGGCATTACTTGTTAAAATATTTGAGACGAGGAAAATTTGGCAAGAATTATGACCTTTCTGAGTTTGAATCTATTTGTATGCAGGCTCTAAATTAGATGAGTCTCATAATGCAAATGCAGCACGTTGAGAGAGATGTGTGACAAACCATGCTGCTGAAATCATAAGTCATGCACAGTTTCTGAATATATATATGAATATATCCTACAGCATGTCCTTTTTGGAGGGCACAAAATGATAACTACGCACACAAAAATGACATCATTCACTTTCTGCTGACAAGACATGCTTTGTGAAAGCTGGAATGTTTCACAATAGCTTATTCCTCTGGTGTGCCTGGTGTGATCTCACAATCTCATAGATGCTCATTCACAACACGCACACACTAACTCACGTACGCACGGTGGTTCCTCCAACCCCTGTCTGTGAAGCTGTGCCTCAGGAGGAAATTCAATTGGAGAGTTGACCCAGACTGACACAAGGCAAGCATCATTGATTTTTATTGAGACATGAGCCATCAATACTGAAATTGCTTTTGATTCACAGGGTCTCTGCCTCTGTGTGTCTGTTTCACCACTGAACCATATGATCTTCATTTGATTGTCATTTAGGCCATCTAGATGTTGTAATTTGACTTACCACATCCACAAATAAGTCCCTCTTCTCATGAATTATAATGAAGCATGATAATTGAACAACACACAAATCAGTATAGGTAGATTTATTTTCAATAAATTGACTCCAGGTATAGTGTAAAATTTACTAAGCTTCAAGTAATCAGGATACATTTATTTGGAGTCACAAATGTTCTCAATCCTTCGTGTCAAACATCCAGACAAAATCAAGTGTAAAGTCTACAAAGCTTTAGTGATTGTTTGGTAGCATTTGGACACATTTGTGATTCCTAGAACAAGGCTCCAGAAACGAGCATAAATTAAAGTCTATGTCCCAGAGGACATCTCACAGTGGGATACAGCTACCGTGCAGCTAAAACGATTTTTGGAATTGTTTACAGGAAACGATTTTTTCATGAAGGTACAAACTGCCAACTTTAGAATAGTTATTGTTATCACATAGGGATGTGTGAGGCACTTGTTATTAGGCAATTTATTACTTGTAGTAGACAGCTGTTTGGAAATGGGATGAGCTATAGCTAAAAGTTGCTCAGAATCAGAACACCAATTGAGTGCATTATTCATAAATATAGTACAATTATCTAAAACAGCTTAAACCCTTAAGATTTAATCAAGGCTCAAGTTAAAGGTAGAGTCTGGATTTCTATACACAACCACAGAATAGGTTTTGGTAAGCATTTTGGATTGTGTAAGAACATACCATGGACCGGTTTCTGTGCTGATTTTCCCGTTCAGAAATTGCAGCGATCCAGCTCTATGATGCAGAGCTGGCATAGGGTAAGGATGAAATGATCCTTTCTTAAACTGCCATGAAATCGTTCAGGTTTCAGTTGTTTTAGATGATAAAACACCTTCCCCTCTGATGGTCCTGAGGTGTATTAGGGAATAATCGCCTTCAATCTGCTGATGTGATGAAGCTCCTGAAAAGACTCCGGTGAGACAGACTTAGCTGAACAAAGGAGGATTTTATTTTCCACCAGAAATGCAGACGGACATGTCAGATCCGGAGAGGTCCCAGAGCCGAATGTGGGAGACTCTCTCTCTTCTTTTTATGGGGTTTTAAATTGTCAAAACATTTATACATTATGTTTCCTGAGACAAAAAACACTCTCATGCCATCGGTCTAGTGGACTCTGACTGTTCATTTGCACACATTTGTTAACTTTGCCGTGACCCTCTGACCTAGGTAAATGTTATAGTTTTACATTCTGTACCTCTACTTGTTCTTCTGTTTTTCCAAACTGAGAGCAGTCTAAGTGCTGTTTACTGTATGTAATGCACTAAGATTGGTTACATACACAGCTGAGTCAAGCTATGGTGCATCTCATCACAACATCCTAGCAATGGAATCAAGTGAAGCATGGTCAACCTCGGACCATTGTGGGCTTCTTGAGAAAATGCACACGACATTTGGCCGCTTTAACATGCTTAATTTGAGATCATTATACACGCAAGCACAGTGGAATGAACTCCTCAGACGTTGTCTTCGGGCCGCGAGATTGGTGATTTTGTTGGACTTCTTCAGAACAGAGCAAAAGTCGACGAATGTTTTGACCAGAGAAGTGCTACAATTTCTGATATTGTCACATGGAGAATTACTCTGACTCCCTGAACTTTGATCATGGTTACGACCGTACAAGTACTCAAAAGTTAATATGCCTTTTATGGACAAATTCACCAGCAGATTCAAAGGTATACACACATTTTAGTACGCAGTAATGAATTTGAAGGAAATGGGCATTATTTAGTCTCAACCTGTAAAGCTTCAGTTCTGATTGACTTTATGAGTCTATATTTGTCTTTCGACACACAGCCAAAGTGTATTGTCTCAGGCAAATAGCACTACAACCTGTGTGTG